AGGAAATGAAAAACAGTTTGAAACTTATAGTCATCGCTTGGTGGTTGATTGATTCCAACTTAGAGATATGTGGATCCTTGGATTTTTTAGTAAGTGCACATGTCACTCAGGCTCTTATTTGAAAGTTATAATGCAAATTTATCTTATTTTCTTATTTATTAAGGTTAATTTTAAAATTTCGTATGTTTGAGGGGAATTTTAATAATAAAAAGATCAATTGAAGAATATGAATAAGTATTTATAGGCTTGATTTTATAGCTAGGAACCGATTGGAGAAATCATCAAATATATAAGCACAAATTGATTGATTAACCCTTTAATTAATATTGTTCTCTTTAAAAGTAAGAGTAAACGTCTCAATCTATTTTTATATAATTAGCAAAATTTTTAATTTATTTTTATATTTTTAATTGTGTTTACTATATTTCTGTATAATATCAAATTTTCCGATACGCCCTTTTATCAAGTTTACACACAAACACGCATATATATAATGGTTGAGTAATATTCAAACTTTTTGTTAATTTTGAAAAAAAATTCTATTACATGTTTTTTTATAACTCAGCAGCAATTTTAAAATGAAACATATAATTTTATCGATTTAAGTGAAAAAAATTGATTGAAAGACATATGGAAGAATTGTATACTATAAAAAATATCATAAAAACAATTATAGATATAGAAATATTTTAGAGATTTGCCTAATTATATAACTATAGATTGAGCTACTTACCCCAAAAGCAATTATTAATTTTTTTTTTAAATTCAAGATAAGCAAAAAAGAAAGAAAATTTGCTGAACCGCTTTTGCGCACGTATCAATCTTAGAAATTTTGATAAATTAAGCACAAGCGTTAACCTTAAAATTTTGATTATTTTCGTTTTCCCTTTCCCAAGGGTTCGAACTTCACTTCTCATTCTTGGCTGAACAAAGTTAACGAAGTGAACTTGGTGGCCACGTGACCTAAAACCTGAAACTCTGCAAAGTTTGCTTTCCATTTCTAGTCAATTCTATTATAAATTTGAACTGTGAATAAGAGCAACATTAGCACTAATGTTAATTCAATAGCATGGATGTTAAAGTACTCAATAGCCATGATGGTTCAAACAAAAATATAATTTTGTCGTCTCGGCATTGGTTCTTATCTTATTCCTTACTGTACAACAAATGCGTGGGAACCTATATGGCACTAATTAATATGGTTTTAATAAAAAGATTGATATAAGGGTGACATTACATTATTGATCGTATGAACATTGAAATTTGATCAAATTGACTCGATGATTAAGAAGATATGTTCTTTTTAAGATCATTAAGAATGTAAGAAATAAAATTTTCTTGAATTTTAGATCGTTTGTCTTTGATCAGTACTGTACTATAATATTGCTGCATTTGTTCCATCACTTTGGGATCATTTTTTCCATTGAATTTAAGGTGAATAGTGGAAGAGTTGGTAAGGATTTTTTAATTGGATTATGTTGCTGAAGTTGGGAAAGCATAGAAAGTCTGAATTATCACCTTAAAGAACATCAAAAAGATTCCTGAAATTTTAAGTTGTTGGTTGGTATCAACGTCGAAGGGTCTACAAGATCCAGGAGGAGGGGACATCTATCGCTATTCCCAAATCATTAGAGGAATTGAAGAAAGAAAAATGACCGTATAAATTGGGTTAACTCAAAGCTTTGTGAATTAAACAAAAGTTGAAATGGCCGCCTTGAATGTGTCCCTTTATTACTGTGGATGGAAAGGGCCGCATAAAGAGAAAACTGCAGCTAGCCAATCAGGTGGCTTGTCACGAAATAGTGTGTTTTGAATTGACTCCATTATAGTTTGCAAACGATGAGGCTTTCCATGGTGCACCATTTCTTTTCGTTTCAGCATAGGAGTATAAGCCAATTGGACTGGGCTAGAATTGTGGGACACATGCATGACTCATCAAGTCTGGACATTACCCATACTACTTTTGGAAGTGTTTCTGTGTCTGCTTATGGCTGATGGCTAGTTCTTCCTGGGAATGGGGCAATATCTTCAAGTGTCAGACCAATACCTGCAACCCTCTTGCTCTTATCACGTGATGATGTGAAAGCTTTATAGTTCTTCTCAAATATAAGTGGTATCTTTTGAAATGGTGGGTTCAATTTCAACCAGTGAAAGTAGCCTAAATTCTTGTTCAAATTCTAGTCCTTCCTTGGCGCTGGAGCTCACTTGCACAAGCCTGTGGCCAACATGGGTGCTGAACCAGTTTTGGTATTAGCTTCCCGCTTTAATCAACCAAACCCATATTAGTTGACTTGATCATGAGGTCTGGTTCTGCTAATGTTCCCAACACCACCACCCTTCGCTTGCAATAACTTCGGAATCTCTAGACATTCACTTTAGTAGAAGACGATCCCACCATTAATGAATTCATTTTTGTTTCTCCTAAAAAAGAGAGAAGAGTGTGGAATTGTGGATTCCTTGTCATCCGATACCATCATGTAATTGCTTTAAACCTTGTTTTTATGATTCGTACCAGAGACAATATAGGATAGGTTTGATGAAATACTAATATTGGGGACTACTTTTTAATGGCCTTGAGACTTGAGAGGATGCATGTAGTGTTACTGGAGTGTGGGATTGGAGGGCCATCATATGCTGAGAACTCTGCAACTCATCAGGTGGCCTGTCTCCCAGTAACGAGTTCTGAACTGACTGCACTATGAAGATTGAACTAGAGGTTTCACATATACTATAATCAATCTCTTCTATAAATCAATCTCAGTCGATATCAAGAGAAATATGATCACAAAATTAGCTGCAGATTCTTAGCCTACATTAATGTAATAACCTGTAATTCTGTATTCCTTTACTTTATAGCATATGATGTAGTTTATGAAGGTGTTCTCTTTTGAGAACATTCAAGTGAAAATACAATCATTTTTCTCTATATTGTTCTGTTTTCGTAACAACAACATGCATGGTGAAGAACGCAGGAGTTCTTCGTTCTTATCAGGCTGAGCAGAAGTGGATGTGGAGGAGAATAAAAAAGGCTTTCCATATCTCTCTCTTCCATTATCAGTATGGCTGGGGATGATGTTTCTGTTGGTAGCAATTGTAACAAGTGATCTTTGTGTTTGATGTTGAAACGGCCGCAAAAGGGAATCAAAGGAGCAAGATTAGCCATTTCTTTTATTATCCAGTTTTTAAAGTTGTTGGTCTGTGCAATTCTAAAATATTGTTTGGAATGTCATTGCCCTAGTTTTTTACCAAGATGGAATCCAATCTTGCACACCAAGTTTTCTTTATTGAGATAGCGTCTTCTACATAGTATAATATGGGAAATGAGAATTTGAACTAAATCCTCTAACCCCCGTTTTTAATTACTAATCTGAACAACCTTTTCTGATGCCTGCCTCGTAGTGTTATTTGTTGTTCAGGGCCTTTGGCCCCTTTTTATCACCCAAAAATAAAAAACTAAAAATGGAGTCACTTTGTCCCTTCTAGTTTAGTTTTGGGCCTTTGGTCGCTTTCATTGAAAAATGAAAACTGCACCTTGTAAATTTCAAAACCAAGAACCAGACCAGAAGATGGAAAACTGACATTCTTTTTTCCTAACAAGAACTTTGCTTAAAGCCCATCACAGCTCAACCCAGTATAGGAGACTATAGATATCAATCCTTCATAATTGTACCGGCCACTTGCTTTAGATAAAGTTTAGCACTGTTATCTTCTGCGACCTTGTGCGACCTTGTAGTTTTCTTTCCTTTCTTTTTTTTTAACCACAAATTGCTACCTGAAAGAAAACATTGCTTTTTACCACTAGTCATTGAAACTGCACAGTCGTGCTGAGGCTGATCTTGGTTGTTGAGGACTGGATATATTATTTGAATTAGATTCTTTACTAATCCAGCCATGATAAATGTACGTAAAACAACAACAAAGAAAGACGATAAGAAATAAGAGAGAGGAGAAGGACCCAAAAACAGGTAGCTAGTATGCAGGGGATTGAAGCGCAGAAACCAGACAATTCGTAAGAAACATATATCATAAAGGATAGAAAGGATGGTAGGAATTCTATTATTGTTAAGAATGCTCAAGTCTCAGACTGAAAAGAGACTTGGTTTCAGAGCGAAAGCTGGCAAGGAGATGGAAAATTTGATTGTGATATCCAAGAGAGTTCTGTGCTGCTGTCTTTTCTGCTGCTACTCGACATTATAGTCAATCAGATGACATCTGCAGCTGCACTTTGCTAGCCATAAAGATATTAAAAGAACTTCACTCGTGTTCTCAGAGTCAAACTTATTGGAGGTCTCCATCTTGTACACATTTCCTGGTTGCTTGTTTCTTCATTCAAATGTTCCATCCAACTCTCGCTGGCCTCAATTTTTATGAAATTCTGTACGCGATTGATGACACTATCGCTTCTACTGCAACCCTTTGATCTTTCAAGTCAGGTGCCATCTCAACTTTCCGTCATAGTTACCATCTTCCTTTGCAAATTTTTTATGAAATGTTAAATTAGAAAGCTGCAGGAATATTAAATTGTAATTGGATTGCTTACCTTCCAGCCCTTGAGCTCAACGTGGAGCACTAATCCTGGTTTGCTCAATACTGCAAAATCTGCAGAATTTCTGCTTGTAATGTTTATTCTCCAAGTTAACCCAATTTGCCTAGTTTCTTTTAATTTCTTTCGCCCTCCTTTTGAAACTCCTATTTGATAAGCTAACGTCTTAGTTTCCCCGGCTCAATTCATTGGACAATCTCGCAATCTACAGCATAAGACATTCTTTCACATCAACAGAAGCTTAAAGCCAGGCTTAATGCCTTAAAGACAGAACATTTTAGCTTTACTGTAAGCATAGATTCCGTAAACAGTACCCTCCACAGATATAATCCTTCGCATACATGTCAGCAGAACATGCCTAAAATACACAATAATTAGTAAACTTTCAAACTACAATTCGATAGTATGGCACAGTCCAGCAGTTCATGATGCCACAAGTTTTCATCATCATGGAGATCTAGGTTGATTTCTCAAAACTGGTGTTTGATCTCACTGTGTACTCTGCTACAAGTTGTGAGAATGACGATGACTTGTTTTCTAACAACCTTGTTGGAGAATCATATTCCTCAATGAGCCCTGAAACAAGATTGCAAATGTTTGAGAAAATTCAGGATCAACATCATTTACAGGCAACGGTACACCAAGTTTCCATGCTTACCACTACTTAGAAGCAAAACCATGTCACTATCAAGAACAGACGTTATCCGATGTGCAACGGTTATTACCGTACAGCCAGAGAAGTGCTGCCTAACAGTTTGCTGAATAAGACTGTCAGTGGCTGTGTCAACTGAGGCAGTAGCTTCATCAAGGACCAAGACCTTACTTTTCTTGAGTAGCACACGCCCGAGACAGAGTAGCTGCCTCTGACCCATACTCCAGTTCTCTCCATTCTCGATAACTGCAGAACCAGATGACCATTGGCAACACAAATTTCACACCACTATCAAGTTTGAAAGGATATGCACAAAAATCGAGAAGCGGTGAGTCAGTGACTGCTGAGAAAGACAAACCCGTGGAATTAAGACAAACCTGTGGAATTTAACTTCATTTCCTTCTTCCTAACTTCATCTCCAAGTTGGAACTTATCCAGAGCCTAGGAACATTACAACTTTAAGTTAGCATGCAAGCTATCTTTCAGTCACCAGTCCTTGAAATACTGCACATCAATTCTAAGAAGAAAAACACACACACACACACATATATATGACTGCGTCAACACACCCCTCATTGAGATAACATAACAGGAACAACACACCTCCCAAATCTGTTCATCTGTATACTCTTCTAGTGGATCCAGATTGCTTCGTACAGTCCCTTCAAACATGGTTGGATCCTGAGGAATAATGCTCAGTCTTGACCTCAAATCATGCAGACCAATCATTGAGATATCAATGCCATCAATCATAATCCGACCAGCTGCAGGTTCGACAATTCGGAAAAGAGTCTGTATAAGAGTAGATTTACCACTGCCTGTTCTCCCAACAATACCAGTTTTCATCCCTCCTGGGAAAGTGCATGTGAGACCACGCAGCACAAGTGGCATGTGTGGGGCATATCGGACCTGCATTGGTGCATTGGACCCAACCATTAGTAACATAAACAACACATGCCAATTGGAGAAATCAACAGAACAAAATTACCTGCAGGTTATCAATATCAACTTCACCATGTGATGGCCAAGAATGGTCTGGCCTGGTCGCTTCTATTACAAGAGGAGGCTCAGCAGGAAGAGACATGTACTGCAGAATTCTCTCTACTGCTATGATTTTGTTCTCACAATTGCAGAAAAGCCATATCAACACATACTGTGTCATGTGTAGGCCAAGCGCATACGCCACAGCTAAGCCTGCAATGGCTATTGGAAAAAAAGGGTGCCTTTCAGGTTTACCAGTTGGTTGGCGATAGGAAGGAAAACAGAGAACAGATATAAGAACAAAACTACCCACCTGGATTGATTCGTTCGGGAAAAGAGACTAAAAGAAACAGAGAGAAAGCAAACGTAACAGAACTGAGCATATCCATACGGATGGAAAGCCATTGCAATGCAGCCGAATTATGAATTTTGGGCCGAGAATAGGCATCTATTAGTCTCATGTTTATTTCTTGGAATCTTGATTCTTGATCAAAGCTTCTGATAGTTGTTGCTCCTGAAATTGTTTCTGCAAAATTTTGGATAATGGGAGCATTGCATACTCCAACCAAGCGTGAAAGTTCTCTTGCTGAAGGTATGTAATATTGCTGCAGGCATCAAGAAATATGTTAGAACTCCTCTCTTTCTGAATGTTAAACCATAATATATATTACTAGTCATAATGAAATCGGGGCTACATCATATTGCATGCCACTGACACTATTTTTAAAATCTCTTGCAGGTTCAACATCTTGAGAAAAAGAAAAACTAATTAAGAGATGATAAACTAAGTATAGGAAACATGAGGAGATCAAATTATATATGATTAGATTTTCTGCACTGAAGTAGAGCTCAGAAAATAAAATGAGTGTTTTAAGAGACCACAAAGAGTACCTGATACCAGATACAGGCAGCAATCACAGGAATGGAAACTACAAAAACTTGCCACGCCACCTGAGAAATCACTGCTATTATTCCCAGAAGCTGGATTGCTTGGAAGGCAAGTTCCCCAACTAGGAATGGAATATCCATCTCTACTACATTTTGATCTGTGGAAGCCTATTTGAGAGGAAACAGATCGATGAAGTGAAACTACTGAACTTGGTACTTCCCTACTTAATTGTAATCACTTATAAAGGGCGTAAGATATAGAAATACTTACTCTGTTAAGGATTCGTCCACTAGGGGTAGCATCAAAAAAGGACATGGGGGCATGAAAAATGCACTGATGCATTTTACTGAACAGTAGAGATGCAGTTTTGTACCCTGCTGTTACAAGTAGACTGGCTCGAGCCAGGACACAAAAAGAACTTCCAATAACCAGAGATGCATAGACGATTAATAGTCTAGATCCACTAACAACAGGTTTCACATCCTTTGACGCAGGAGTTGCCCATGCCATCCAATAGGTGCTACTGATTTGAAGCATCATAAAAAGAAGTTGTGCCAGTAATATAAAGGGCACCAGAGCTCCTCGATATGCTGTTGTGATATATTTCCAATAGATTGGAAACCCAACACTACCTCTCACTCTCTCTTCTTCTTGAATGAGTTGTGCTTGTGGCTTAGCTACCTCATCTGCTTCACCAGTTTGTGAATCATTATTTCCTTCTTTCCATACAATCCCATCAGTACTGTTGATTTCACCATTGTCGTTTCTGACACTCTCATTTTCGGAAACGGGTCCTGCCTGTTTGGAATCAAGAACCGATAAAGCTGCCTTATGTGCACCTACAAGTACCATAAAATCAGATCCTGAATTGAGAATGTCATCATACTTTCCAGCTTGTGCGATCCTTCCATCTTTCATGACCTAACCAAAAGGTACAGTTGAAACAAATGAAACATTAGGAGACATGATAATCCCACATGCAATGAAGAAGACAAATATGCATTACTCACCAAGATTAGATCAGCAGTGGATAAGAACTCAACCTGATGAGTAACATAAATAACAGTTTTCGAACTTAAGAGGCCAAGCAGAACTTCCTGTCATGCAAGATCAAACAAGTATACTGTATGAGAAATGCCAATTCTTTTTTAACTAGGCATGAAAAGAAGAATAAATGAGGAAACAACCAAAAAGGAAAAACAGAACAAATTAAGGTGGTATGTTTAGCTGGATACAGAAATTAAAAGCAAAAGTTAGAATCCACAGCAAGCAATGGTACTAGGGAAGATGGGATAGTTTACTTTAAACAAATGAGATCCAGTATGAGCATCCACAGCACTGAAAGGGTCATCAAATAGATAGATTTGGGCATCTTGGTAGAGAGCACGTGCTATCTGTATTCTTTGCTTTTGTCCACCACTCAAGTTGATACCCCTCTCACCAATAACTGTTTGATCACCGAATGAGAGGATTTCCAGGTCCTTCTTCAGGGAACATGCTTCAAGTACCTTCTCATACCTTTCTCTGTCCATGTCCTTACCAAACAAGATGTTCTCTTCTATAGTACCACTCTGTATCCAAGGTGACTGAGCAACATAGGCCTTTGTCCCACACAACTTAAGTGTCCCAGAGATCTTGGGTAATTCCCCCAAAATGGAGGATAGTAAGCTTGACTTGCCTGAACCAACAGCACCACAAACAGCTACTCTCATACCATGGTACGCTTTGAAGTTTACATCTTTCAATGTTGCATTTGGTGAAGACAAATCCCATGAGAAATTTCCATCAACAATCTCAATTGCTGCATCAGAACTACCTACTGGAAGCTTCTCTATAACATCTGGCCGCAAGTCATCAAGAGCAAGGAAAGATGCAATTCTGTCAAGAGAAACCTTTGTCTGAATTAGCTTAGAAACTGTATCAGGAAGTTTATAGATTGGAACTTGAAGAATCTCGAATGTTGCAAGTGCAGATATGACCTTCCCTGATTCAAGCGGGACACCCATAAGCATAGAAGTAAGAAAGGTGGCCACAGCCACAAGATTAGGAGCACCAAATAAGATAAAAGTGATCATTAGTGAAGTATAGAAATATTTCTTCAACCATTGAGTCTCTACTTCCCTGAGTTCAACAATCTTAGACAAAAACTTCATTTCCCATCCCTGAAGCTTAAGAATTTTCATATTCTTCAAAATCTCTGTGGTCGCCTTCATTCGTTTATCTTTTGATTCCATTAACTTGCCTTGAAACTTCTCCTCCAATCTCCCGAAAGGGTAATTTAACAACATGACAATTACTGTGGTGACAAAACCAGCAACAGACCCAAGTCCCAGATTTTTGTACAGGATCAGCAAGGCCAAACTAACTTGCAAGATGACCAACCATGGGTCATGCACGTACCAACTAACGGTGCTAAGTCTATTCGCATCAATAGTCATAATATTGATGATTTCTCCACTAGAACGCCCCTGCTTTGATTGACAGGAAAGGGTCAAACTCTTGTTGTAAATCATCGTGGTTGTTACTGCACGAAGCCTCGTTCCCATTTGCTGCATCTTGAAGAGCAAATGCTTCTGCGAGAGGCACTCTGCAAGCTTTGCAACCAAAAAGATGGAAACCAAAATATAACCTTGGTTCTTAAATTCCCCTCGGCCATCAAGGCATTGAACAAAAGCATCGATAAGGTAAGGACCAACGTAAGAACCTAACGTGTGTATCAACGCCAATAAAGCCGTCCATAGAATTTGTTTCCAAGCTGACAAGAACAATGCTTTTGCAAGCTTGAACACAGTAAATCTACTAGCAGTACCACAATCGGACTCCAGCTTATTTTTAAAAACTGGAAAAGCTTCAACCACACTATCAACACTGTGAAGTTGAGGAACATCTTCAAGGTCTAAAATTTTCTCATTGCCAGCAGCAATTAGAGAATTCATCCAAGAGAAGGTGAGAATACTGAAAAGATTAGCATTTCCATAAGGAGTCACCGTATCTCCCCCTCTAGACTTACTTGTCTCCAAATTATTAATTGAACTAGAATCACCACTCAAGAGGTGTTCTTCAAGTACATCTTGAATCTCACTTCTCGAAAACCCAACATAACAAAGAAACAAACCCGTAAACACAGAGACTACATCAGATACTACATAGTACTCTATCTCCAAAGACCCATGTTTGTGATGAAAGAAAAGATCTACAACAAAGCAATGACAAGAAATTGCCAAATAGAAACCCCACCAAACTCTCAATAACGAAGGGAACACTTTTTCACCTGAATTGAAGAATTGGGTATACAAATAAACAAAAAGTGCACCCCAAGAGAGTGTTCTGAGCACTAAATCCAAAACGGTCACTACTTTATCATCAGACCAGCCATTTCTATATGAATAGAAGTAGCTCAACAAAAACAAGATGAGATTAAACAATGAGACACCTAAACAACACAACAAAGTCTGTTTATACAACAAAAACCCGTTCTTCATCTTTAACCTTTCTTTAGAACCCTCCCCATCACCCACCCTGAGTTTCTTACAAACAAATGAAACAAATAAAGCAAGTAACAAAGCTAAGTGTAATGATCCAGAAAACCCACGTAGGAAAACGGATTTAAGAAGAAAATCCATGTTAGAACCTGGCGAATGCATCATGGAAGATGAGTTTGAAAGAATGGTTGCAAGACCATGCTATGTTGACTGAGAAAGTTCCATTTTTTTTTTTAGCGTTTCCTTAATCTGTTCGACTTGGGCATCATGAGTGAAAGATGAAGGGTGTTTTGCTTTTTGTTAAAAAAAAAATAATAAAAAGTTAGACAAAATAGAGCTATTGTTTGATTTCCTAGCTAGTCTACGCAGAAGAAGACTCTTATTATCGAGAAATTTTATAATAATCAAGACGTGAGTAACTAGTGGCTACAGACGGAGGAGGAGGGAGAAAGAAAAGGTGCCCAGAACCCGCCAACACCGCGTCAATACAAAAAGAGTGTGGAAAAAACAATTGTGCAAAAGACATATTTATCCATCAAATATTTTTTATATGTCAATCTGATACCTAAACGAAAGTAATTTTGGATTGGATCCCTCGTTTAGTCATTAGATGATAAACCTTCACCTTAAATTTTCGCCAAACCGAAGTTCCCTTCTTGAATCAACAATGGCTATCATCAGCTGCGAAAATATTCAGCAGTTCAGAGGAGATTTTAATTCCAAGGCTGAGGACAAAACAATCTTTTTAAAATCTGAACCAGATTTGATTTCATGTTGGCCATAACTTTCTAATTATTTGATGGACTTATTATAGTGGTCGTGGAATGGCAAGGATTCGTGAGAAAAACTTGATCAGTACTTGATCAATGAAGGAAAGCCAGCCATGAGAATAACCAGTCAAAGAAGCACCCTCAGGAACACAAAGACTTCTTTTTCTTCTTTTTTATAATGTTTATATCTTTCAGGTGCAGAAGGTATAACGATTTTTTGAACTATTCCTGGTGCCATCGAGTCCTTCAATACTAGGAGGACTCTCATCAGGTAGCAACAAGCATGGAGAAAGGTGCAGGTTTGTTTGTTATCAGGTTGAGAAGGAGAAGAAGATACAGAGGAAAAGGAAGCAGAGTTTGCAAAACTTTCTGCTTTCTTGCTGTTATAGTTATGGTTTTTTATGACAGAGGCAGCTGAAGCAATCGCTCTTCGTGTGACATGGGCTTTCTGTCGGGAACTGTGGCAGAAAAGTGTAAGATTAGCCATCTCTATGTGTTTCAAAATATTTGTTTTCAATGTCACTGTTTATTTATTATTTTTTTTTTTTAGCAGGATGTAAATATATATCCAATCTTGGATACCAAGTTTTATGATTTTTTTTTTTTAAAAAAAAAGATATTTTTAAACTTATTTATCAAAATGCATATTTAATGATACGTAAACATAGATGCTATCAAATGAAATGAGAAAGTGAAGGAAAGTGAGAAACGAAAAACATGGAATAGCCTGTCTTGCCTAATAATGCCAAGAAAGGAAATTATAAGCTACGGAAGGTAGGAAAGCCAGTCAATGAAGTATGTATATACGAGTTGTGAGATCTTAATCATGCTAGATCTCAAGATCTCTTTCTTGGGTTATTTGGAGGTGTGTCCGTTTGACCTTGTGAAAACTTGAGATTGGTAAGATATGTCTGGTTTATTTTTTGGAGAAAATGTTTTCTTACTCATCATGGGCTGTTGAGTTCCATCCATGGACAATGATGTAAAATGAAACCAAAGCAAAAAACACATGGAGTCCTTAATTTTTTCATGGAGAGCATTGAATTTGATTGCAGTTGTAAATTATGCTTAACATTAGATAAGAAGGTAAATTAATTGCAATAAAAAAAATGACGTGGATGAAAATACTTTATATGATTAAAAAAACTATCTATTTTGAGAATAAAGATTTAAAAATCTCCTAATTTAGTAAAAAACTCCAAGTTTTATTTATTTAGACAAGGTTTTCTATATAGTATAATATCGAAGGTAAAAATAACACTATAAACTAAAGAAAAACAGTTTTCATCGTAATAATGAATAGTATTAATCACTATTTATTGCTACAATGATTTGGTTTTTCTAAAAAAATTTTCATTTATTACTTTTTTTTTACCAGCACCCTATGGCCTTCTTTCCCTCTTTTTTATTCCTTGTTTACTATTCATTTGAACAATAAATGGCTTCCCCTCCTTTTTTATTTTCTAAACACTGAATTTTTTTTTAAATTTCCATCCATTTATTGTTCAAATGAACAGTAAATGGCTTGCCTCCTTTTCTTTTTTTTTTTCCTAAACATTGAATTTTTTTTAATTTGCATTTCTTAATAATATTAGGTGTTAAAATTTTAAAAGAACCAACAATTAATTGGGTGTTAAAATTTTTTTTAAAAAATAATTTATTTCCTTTATTATTTATTTCTAAAATTTAAAAACATAAATAAGAAATATTTAAATATAAAATTTTTGATTAAAAAATTATAATTATTTTTTACCATAAAACTGATTATTAAATTAAAATAATTTTTTTAAATAATTTTATATATTTTATTCAATCCGTAGCACACATGCATCAAAAATCTAATTTGAACTGGGCGAAAAAGGAATACATACAACTTTGGACTCAATCATCTAACTCCTTTTCAATTGCTAATCCGAACATGCTCTTCCCAGTTCCCATTAACCTGATCTTCTGTTCCCTGTGCCTCGTTTTTGCGCCATATGGTTTGTTGTTTAGGGCCTTCGGCCTCTTCATCACCCCAAAAGAAAAACTTACATAGGGTCCTTTTTCCCCATCTAGTTTAGTTTTGGGCCTTTGGTTGCTTTTACTAAAAGATAAGTAAATAAACAAAAACTGCCCCTCATGCGTTTCAAAACCAAGAACCAGACCAGAAAAAAAAAACTGACCCTTTTTTTTTCTTTTTTCCTTAACGTGAACTTTGCTTAAAGCTCATCACAACTCAACCGGCATTTGAGAATTAATAGATATCACTCCTTCAAAATTGATGATTACAGGAAAACTTGTTTAGTAAAATAAGAGTGCGTGATTCGTTACGTAAGAATTTAAACGTAATAAATAAATAGGATATTTGATTTTTTTATACATCATGTATCCTGTAAAAGAAGTCTTTCTGAATGATTGTGAGATTCTTTGACGATCTAGTTAGTAGTACGAGAAAATAGAAATAAACTGATTAGATTTTTATAGAATGTTTTATATTCGGTAAAAGGTGACGATGTAGACTCTTTCTCATTCGAAATGAGCATCCCGAGTTTTTGGGACTTCTGTGCTTTTTCTAGAGGATGATTAGTCCGTAAGGACACTGTGTGACAGGCTTGACGAGGTACGGATTCTTTGGATAAGGCTAACACTACTGTCTTCTGCTGCCTTGTATTTTTATCTCCTTTTTCTTCAACCACTTATTGTTGCCTTGTAGAGGACATTTTTGGAGACTCATAAAGGATGGGTGGATTCCGTTATTCTTAAGACTCAGCCTAATCAGAGACCTAATTTTGGAGCGAAAGCTGGCAAGGAGATGGAAAAATGAACTGTGATATCCAAATGAGTGCTGTGCTGCTGTCTTTTCTGCTCCTACTCGACCTTCTAGTCACAGCTAAGCCTGCAATGGCTATTGGAAAAAAAGGGTGCCTTTCGGGTTTACCAGCTGGTTGGCGATAGGAAGGAAAACAGAGAACGGATATAAGAAAAAAACTACCCACCTGGATTGATTCTTTCTGAAAAAGAGACTAAAAGAAACAGAGAGAAAGCAAGCGTAATAGAACTGAGCATATTCATGCGGAAGCAAAGCCATTGCAATGCAGCAGAATTATGAAATATAGGGCGAGAATATGCATCTGTTAGATTCATATTTATTTCTTGGAATCTTGATTCTTGATCAAAGCTCCTGATAGTTGTTGCTCCTGAAATTGTTTCTGCAAAATTTTGGATAACTGGAGCATTGCATACTCCAATCAGACGTGAAAGTTCTCTTGCTGAAGGTATCTAATATTGCTGCATGCATCAAGAAATATGCTAGAACTCTCTTTCTGAATGTTAAACCATAAGATATATCATTTGTCATAATGAAACCACGGCGACATCTCATTGCATCCATTTGACCCTATTTTTTAAATTTTCTTGCAAGTTCAACATCTTGGGAAAAAGAAACAGTAACTAGAGAAGACAAAGGAAGAAAGTATAAGAAACATGAGGACATCTAATGATATATTATCATAAATTTTACACTGAAGTAGAGCTCCAAAAATAACATGAGTGTTTAAAGAGACCAAATAGAGTACCTGATGCCAGACGCAGGCAGCAATCACAGGGATGGAAACTATAAAAACTTGCCACGCCACCTGAGACATCACTGCAACGATTCCCAGAAGCTCGATTGCTTCGAGGGCAAGGTCCCCAACTTGATTCGGAATTTCCATGTCTAGCGCATTTTGATCATTAGAAACCTATAAGAGAGGAAACATATCAATGAAGTGAAACTACTGAACTTGGAATTCTTCCCTAATTAATTCTAATCACTTATAAAGAGTGTAAGACATACAGAAATTAATTGCTCTGTTAAGGATTCGTCCACTAGGGGTAGCATCAAAAAAGGACATGGGGGCACGAAAAATGCACAGATGCAATTTATTGAATAGTAGAGTAGCAGTTTTGTATCCTGCTGTTATAAGAAGTGTGGACTGAGCAAGAATGCAGAAGGAACTTCCAATAGCCAGATATAAATAGACGATTAAAAATCTAGAACCACTAACAGCGGGTTTCGCGTCCATTGAAACAGGAGTTGCCCATGCCATCCAATAGGTGCTACCAATTTGAAGGATCTGAAAGAGAAGTTGCGAAAGTAATATAAAGGGCACCAGAACTCCTCCATATGCCGTTGTGACATACTTCCAATAGATTGGAAACCCAGCACTGCCTTTCTCTCTCTCTTCTTCTGGAATGAGTTGTGCTTGTGCCTTGGCTACCTCACCTGCTTCACCGATTTGTGAATCATTATTTCCTTCCTTCTGCACAATCCCATCAGTAATGTTGATTTCACCATTGTTGTTTCTGACAATCTCATTTTAAGAAACTGGTCCTGCCTGTTTGGAATCAAGAACCGATAAAGCTGCCTTATGTGCACCTACAAGTACCATAAAATCAGATCCTGAATTCAGAATGTCATCATACTTTCCAGCTTGTACGATCCTGCCACCTTTCGTGACCTAACCAGAAGGTCCAGTTGAAACAAATGAAACATTAGGACATTAGGAGACATGATGAATCCCACATGCAATGAAGAAAACAAATGTGTGTTACTCACCAAGATTAAATCAGCAGCGGATAAGAACTCAACCTGATGAGTAACATAAATAACAGTTTTTGAACTTAAAAGACCAAGCAAAACTTCCTGGCACGCAAGATAAAACAAGTTTCAGTAAAAAATAATGCCATTTTATTATTATTATTATTTCGAACTAGGTATGAAAAGAAGAATAAAAGATGAAACAACCAAAAGGAAAAATAGAACAGAGGGTGGTGCATTCAGATGGATTAGCAATTTTTTCTACAGAAATTAAAAGCAGACATTAGCATCCACTGCAAGCAATGGTATTTGGGAAGATGGGATGGTTTACTTTAAACAAATGAGATCCAGTATGAGCATCCACAGAACTGAAAGGGTCATCAAATAGATAGATTTGGGCATCATGGTAGAGAGCAAGTGCTATCTGTATTCTTTGCTTTTGTCCACCACTCAAGTTGATACCCCTCTCACCAATAACTGTTTGATCACCGAACGAGAGAATTTCCAGGTCCTTCTTCAAGGAACATGCTTCAAGTACCTTCTCATACCTTTCTCTATCCATCTCCTTACCAAACAATATGTTCTCTTCTATCATAGCACTCTGTATCCAAGGTGACTGAGAAACATAGGCCTTTGTCCCACACAACTTAAGTGTCCCAGAGATCTTGTGTAATTCTCCCAAACTAGAGGAAAGCAAGCTCGACTTGCCAGAACCAACAGTACCACAAACAGCTACCCTCATACCATCGAACAGTTTGAGGTTTATGGCTTTCAATGTTGCTCATGGTGAAGACAAATCCCATGAGAAATTTCCATCAACAATCTCAATTGCTGTATCAGAACTACCTACTGGAAGCTTCTCTAAAGCATCAGGCTGCAAGTCATCAAGGCAAAGGAAAGATACAATTCTGTCAAGAGAAACCTTTGTCTGAATTAGCATAGAAACTGTGTCAGGAGATTATAGATTGGAGATTGAAGAACCTCGAATGTTGCAAGAGCAGATAAGACCTTCCCTGATTCAAGAGGGACTCCAATGAGAATACAAGAACTGAAGGAGGCCACAGCTACCAGAGTAGAAGTACTAAAGAAGATAAAAGTTATCATTGCTGAAGTATATAAAGATTTCTTCAACCACTGTGTCTCTACTTCCCTGAGTTCAAGAATCTTAGACAAAAACTTCATTTCCCATCCCTGAAGCTTGAGAATTCTCATATTCCTCAAAATCTCTGCGGTAGCCTTCATTCGTTTATCTTTTGATTCCATTAACTTGCCTTGAAACTTCTCGTCCAATCTCCCGAAAGGATAGTTTAACAACATGAGAATTACTGTGGTAATAAAGCCTGCAACTGATCCAAGTCCCAGATTTTTGTACAATATCAGCATGGCCAAACCAACTTGCAAGATGACCAACCATGGATCGTGTATGTACGAACTAAATGTGCTAAGTCTATCTGCATCAATAGTAATAATATTGATTATTTCTCCAATAGAACGACCCTGCTTCGACATACAGGAAAGGGTCAAACCCTTGTTGTAGATCATCGTGGCTGTTACTGCACGGAGCCTCGTTCCAATTTGCTGCAACCTGAAGAACAAATGCCTCTGTGAGAGGCACTCTGCAAGCTTTGCAACCAAAAAGCAGGAAGCCAAAATATAACCTTGATTCTTAAATTCTCCTCGCCCATCGAGGCATTGAACAAAAGCATCAATAAAGTAGGGACCGGCACAAGGGCTTAAAGTGTATATCAATGCCAATAAAGCTGTCCATAGAATTTCTTTCCAAGCTGACAAGAACAATGCTTTTGCGAGCTTGAACCGGATAACTCTGCTAGCAATACCACAATCTGACTCGACCTTATTTTTAAAAACTGGAAAAGCTCCAACCACACTGTCAACACTATGAAGTTGAGGAACATCTTCAAGGTCTAAAATTTTCTCATTGCCAGCAGCAATCAGAGAATTCATCCAAGAGAAATATACTGAAAAATTAGACCTAACGTTTTCTGCCATAACATGCAAAAGCTCTAAATTCTTATATATATATATATATATATATATATATATATATATATATAGGATGGAAGAGGGAGAAGAAGTTGGTACCAAAGAACAGAGCAAGCAAAGAACTGATGATAGTGGCAACTGAGAGTATACAAAATCTTCTTGGCTTGATCAGATCACAACCTCTCATTTTGATATCTCCTTCTATATATGCTGGCTGAAACTAATAAGAAGGCCCGGGCTGCTCAGTCCTTACATTTAAAAAAAAAAAAAAAAAAAAAACAACAACAACAACAAAACACACACACACACACACACAACCACACGCTACAGTAAATGAACAGTGATACCCTCAGATTTTTTAGTTGTTTTGACTGAAACTAAAAAGAGGCTCGGCTGAGCTTGCTTGCTGGCCAGCCCTTTAAAAAAGAAAAAAAAAAAAAAAAAAGTTAACACTAATATCCTCGTTTCTTTTAGCTTTTTTTAGTAACAGTAACAGTAATTAGTTTTTTTTGTCCACGTTACGTTACGGGTTGAATAAAATATATAAAATTATTTAGAAAAATTATTTCAGTTTGATTATCTCGTTTTATGTTGTGAATCTATAAAAATACATAAAATCAAATGTGAAAAAAATTATTTAATAAAAATTTTTTATTTAACAAATTCTTATTTGTGTTTTTCATAATTTTTCTTTTAGAAAGAGGATTCATCCTTATTAATCTATGGATTATTAACTAAAAAGAAAATTAAATAATTTTTTTAAAATTTTTTTTAGTATTTCATAAGATTGTGTCGAAAAACATAACAATTATTAAAAGCTTACATAGAATTAAAAAATAATTTTTTTTATTTAATGTTGATGAGAATATCGATTTTTGAAAAAATCTGAATTTATTTTTTATATATTTATTTACAAAAGAATGAATAATATTAAAATAAAAAACTATATTAATTTGAATCATTGAGTGGTTAAGCCAAAACATTATTTTAATTATTTAATTTAAAATAAGTTAATTTTAAAATATTCAAAAATAAATAGTACATGCTTAGTGTAGTAGTCATTGCACAGCTTCATTTCTAAAAAACAAAGATTCAATATTTTTTTATACATCATAACTATATTAAGCGAGTTTAGAGTTTCAAATTCAAAACAAAAAATGCTATAAAAAAGTTAACTTGTAAGGAATATATTGGCTAAATTTGAAGTTAATAGACTAAAATAAAAATTATTACAAATCTGATTTCAAATAATTTTGATTATATAAAGAAGAAACAAATTAATAAAACATGTGAATTCTTTTTTTTCCCCTCCTTCTTAAACATTTTTTTTATTTCTATGTTATGCATGGCTAGCCCTTGATATAGGCCTCACGCACAGAGCAACCATCCTTTTTTTTATTTTTCACATTTGACTTTCAACTATTAATTAATTAATTTGAGTTTTTCCTAAAAGAAAACTAAGAAAAATTATTTGAAATACACTTTTGATCTAAAAATGTATTTTAGATAAATTATATATATTAATCATACCGTTATAATTTAAAAGTTATCTAAATCTATTTTTCAAAAGAAAAAAAAATCATGTTCCAAAAATTTATTCTAAAATCCATATATATAGAAAAATAAATCAAAACTATTAGTAAATATAATTTTAAATTAATTGGATGAAAATTTTTTAAAAAATGACATAAATTAGTAAATTTTAAATAATAAAAATAATTAACAAAAAACACTAAAACAAAATAGGACTAAATCACAACATAATCAAAGTTTGAAATTGAAAAAAAAAACAGAAAGAATTTTAAAAAAATGACAAATTAATGTAATAAATTTTAAATAATAAAAAAATTGAGAAAAAATTATATGAAAAACACTTTTAATCTAAAAATGTATTTCATAAAAATTGTATATATTAATCATGCCACTATAATTTAAAAAGTATCTAAATCTATTTTTCAAAAAAAATGTCTAAAAATTTATTTCAAAATCCATACATATAGAAAAATAAATCAAAACTATCAGTAAATATAATTTTAAATTAATTAGATGAGAATTTTTTAAAAAATAACAAATTAATGTGGTAAATTTTAAATAATAAAAATAATTAATAAAAAACGCTAAAAAAAAGGGATAAAATCACAATATAATCAAAGTTTGAAATTGAAAAACAAAAGAGAGAATTTAAAAAAAAATGACAAATTAATATAGTAAATTTTAAATAATATAAAAAAATGGGAAAAATTATTTGAAATATGCTTGTAATCTAAAAATGTATTTTAGGCAAATTATAAATATTAATCATGCCACTATAATTTAAAAATAATCTAAATCTATTTTTCAAAAGAAAAAATAATCATATTCTAAAAATTTATTCCAAAATCAATACATATAGAAAAATAAATCAAAACTATCAGTAAATATAATTTTAAATTAATTTAATGTGAATTTAAAAAAAATGATAAATTAAAGTAGTAAATTTTAAATAATAAAAATAATTAACAAATTAAATTTTGAAATTGAAAAAAAAAAGAGAATTTAAAAAATGATAAATTAAAATAGTAAATTTTAAATAATAAAAATAATTAACCAAAAATATTAAAACAAAATGGGATCAAAGCACAATATAATTAAAGTTTGAAATTGAAAAAAAAATTTAGAAAATTTGAGGACCAAAGTATTAAAAAATGACATGAATAATGAAATGAATAGTGATTTATAAGTGTGTGAATAATATTTCAAATCGTGAAATGAATAGTAAAACTATGTTTTACTTTAGTTTATTTTATAATATAATTAGTAATTCACAATTTCTTATTGAAACATTAATATTCTTCGTATAGCTATGTTGTAACGGTACACTTTGAGACCACAATGCAAGATATGATTACAATGTACAGTAAGATAACTGGAAAGGTAAGTGTATTAGAATTTCTGAAGTGAAGTATAGATAACATGTTTTATTTAGCAAGGTGATACGAGACAAATATAAACAGTCTTTCGCTTTAGAACTTCCAATTTTCATTCAAGATCAAAATGGACATCATCAAGACCTATGCTGGATCCTTCTAAATCTTTATGAAATAAACATATAATTCACTTTAGTTATGACCAACCTAGGAAAAACCTGTTTTTAAAGATACTAAGTAATAATGTAATGGATTTGTAGATATATAAACTTTTTCTTCTCTTGAGCTAATTACTTTGTAATTTTTTTTATGATACAATCTTGATATTTATGTGGACTTGAGTGCTGCAACTGCTGCTGTTGAATAAAGACATGTTTTGCAAAGAATTTAGAGGAACAATATTAATTAGATTTTATATTATCCAATATCTGTTCCTATTGAAGAAAAAATAAAATTTTGTTTAATTTTTATTAATATATTATTTTTACAAAACTATGCTTATGTACTTTTAATTGGCTAAGCAACACTGCACCCATGCTACATTATGAAGGCCCATGCTGATATATTTTTATTGATGTTCTAGTTCTAGGCCCACCTCAGCACACCGGTGCATGTATACAACACGTGATATATTTCTGTAATTGCCTTCATGTATCTCTGAATTTTTTTTTTCCCCATTCCTTTTAAATAGGCTAATGGATTGGCAGTGAGATGACCAATGGGGCGAGGCCGGCGAGGGAATGACTATCCCCGCACCTATCCTGCACTCAAAAAATTTCGTCTGACCTCCGCCTCTGTTCTGTTTAAGGTGAAATTTTGAATAATATCTACACCTCAAATGAAATGTACGGAGCTCCATCAAATTATCATTTTTAAAGATAAAATGGGACGAGGCTCTGTAAAATTATCATTTTTAAAAACAAAATGACGGAACAAGGATAGGGATAGCCATCCTCATCCTTGCCTCATCTCAAAAAATTTCGTCTCATCCTTGCTGCATGCTCCATTTAGACTAAAATTTTAAGAATCATTTCCGGCCTAAACAGGGCAGGGCTCTGAAGGAACGAGATAAATTGCCATGCCTGTATCTCCCTGAGGTAATGGGAGTGTGGACATGTATTTACCAAATTACAAGCTTGGTAAAACTCTTGGAATTAGTTCTTTTGACAAGGTGAAAACAGTATAGCATGCATTGACGGGGCACAAAGTTGCCATCAAGATATTTAACCGCCGTAAGGTAAAAAACATGGAGATGGAAGAAAAAGGTGTGCATCATCCGTGACTTCTTTTCTAATTAGGCAATCCGCTATTCAATTATCTTTAACGATAGATGTTTTTATTTTTTACATGAATGGATGATTTCTTTTCATAGCAATTATAACAATTTTCATACGATAAAAAAAATCATTTGAAACTTGAAACGCAAAATGCTACATTGAGACTACGAAATTTTATATTTGAGATTATTTCAACATTTTTCTATGGATGATTTCTTAAGTATTAATTAGTCTGAAAAGGCTTGCTTCTTGCTTTGTTCTGTAAATAAAAAGGTCATTTAAGAGGGGTGGTAAGAAGAAAAAGATCAGTACCATTAAAGTAAAGCTTGAAACCAAATTTTATAAGGAACTCTAATAATGCTGATTGAACTTCGTAATGAATGTTAATCGTCATTGCATAATCAATTAGATTCTTTTATATTTTAGTTCTTAGTTTCTATATTAAGGTGCAGATCAACAAGAAACCCTCATGCAGTAGATAGGTTCCCCGGAAGATCTTTATTAGACCCGTGAGCAATTGTAACTAGCCTCTGGTTTATGCTCTGCTCCTTGGGAACTGATGGTTCAGGTTGTGCAGATATTTGTATTTATAATGTAAAGCAGCATAATATCGTCTTACATGTGCTAAAAGCCTACTTGGGAAGAATTTTTTGAGGTAACTAAGCTGTACATTTTTTTTTCATGGGTTTCATTGTTCATTTTAGTTATTAGATAAGTGTTAGTGTATAATCATTATCAGTATTTTGTGTGAATATTACTTTCTAATATGATCACTGCT